AAATATAAGAACTTAATCCTTAAATGCTTTAGCAAAATAAAATAGAAAGAAAACGGGACCTGTGATTGAATGTTTGTGTGTTATACGTTTAAATGAAGCCAATGTGGCATGCATTAGATACATGTTTCACTTTATTTTAAGGCTATTTGTTAGCATGAGTTTCTCATTTTGTTTGACTTTTTCATATTGTTACCTCCTCTTTTGTAAATCTCCCCAGATTAATTTGTTGCGGTGTATTGCAATGATATGAGCTTGATGTATGCAAGCTGAGAAATGAGAAGTTGCACACATCTCCTTCCATTGACTCTGTTGGGTTGCATTGCCATGTTTTTGCTTAACCTATAGCTGACTAGTTGATTTGATGGTTGCAGTCTGGCACTTTGCCACTAGATGGCAGTAAAACACTCGTGCTCCCTCTTTAATGGATAAGTAAACATAAGCTGTGTTCATAAAACACTTTCAGGCTTCAATGGTGCGATTTCTCAAAGTGTTTTATGAACACTAATTTGGCCTCTTTTACTCTACTTTAGCCTCCAAGTGGATCAGAAAAGAATAAACGCAGAGTTCAGGGTACGCAAGAAATCTGATCCAGCTTAGCAGATGCTGACGAATGGCAGCAGACAGAGTGTGAAGACTTTGAAGAATGATCTGGTGTCAAGAAATCTCATTAGTTGTCACACACACTGGTATGCGGTGAAATTCGTTCTCCACATCTGACCCATCTCGTAGACGTGGCTGCGATCGGGAAACATTTGGTGGTTTAACCCCCCACCCCCACCCCCCACCCCCAATCAAACCCCTTAATGTTGAGTGTCAAGTAGGGATGATTTTGGACCCATTTTCAAAGTCTTTGGGACCCAACCATGGATTTGAACCAGCAACCTCCAAGCCACAGTGCAGACACTCATACCACTTCTTCTGTCCAAGAAAACATCGGGGACAGACTGACGTTCTTCTAAAGCTTGGTTTATGCTTGACGCATTTACTTTCCGTTTGGTGATGCGGCTCGCGGATGGAACGCGCTTCACAACTCGCAGCGTTTATGGTTCATGCGGCTTGTCTCTGCGGTGAGCCAATATTCTCCCAAACTGTAGGGGGCAGCATGGAGCTCTACGGCATGCATCCAACACTACACCATAGTAGAAGTAAAAATTACTGTTGTTTACAACATGGCATTCCAGCATTTTTTAACAGCGTCCTTGTCTTTTCCGACAGTGCGAGCTATTTCTCTCCAAGAATTATTAACAACATGTTGATCACGGTGATTTTTGAGAGCTGAATCATACAAATGTCTGTATTTACAAACCTCTGCCATACTAGTTCCTGCCAGTCCGCCATGTTTTTCCGCGTCCGACCGTCCGCGTGGTTAGAAGATTTCCTAGGTGCGCGGTGCGGAAAGTTTGGGCCATGCGGAGGCGCGGTGGAGGGGCGTGGTTGTTAAGATGACACAATTTTGCCGCGCGGAGCCGTGCGAACCTCGCGGATGCGTCAAGCATACAGGTGCTGGCCAGTAAATTAGAATATCATCAAAAGGTTGAAAATATTTCAGTAATTCCATTCAAAACGTGAAACTTGTACATTATATTCATGCAATGCACACAGACCAATGTATTTCCAATGTTCATTACATTTAAATTTGATATTCATAAGTGACAACTAATGAAAACTCCAAATTTGGTATCTCAAAAAATTAGAATATTCTGAAAAGGCTGAATATAGAAGACACCTGCTGCCACTCTAATCAGCTGATTTACTCAAAACACCTGCAAAGGCCTTTAAAAGGTCCCTCAGTCTTGTTTTGAAGGCACCACAATCATGGGGAAGACTTCTGACTTAACAGCTGTCCAAAAGACAATCATTGACACCTTGCACAAGGAGGGCAAGACACAAAAGGTGATTGCTAAAGAAGCTGGCTGTTCGCAGAGCTCTGTGTCCAAGCACATTAACAGACAGGCGAAGGGACGGAAAAAATGTGGTAGAAAAAAGTGTACAAGCTCTAGGGATAACCGCACCCTGCAGAGAATTGTGACGACAAACCCATTCAAAAATGTGGGGGAGATCCACAAAGAGTGGACTGCAGCTGGAGTCAGCGCTTCAAGAACCACCACGAGGAGACTCATGAAAGACATGGGATTCAGGTGTCGCATTCCGTGTGTCAAGCCACTCTTGAACAAGAAACAGCGCAAGAAGCGTCTCGCCTGGGCCAAGGACAAAAAGGACTGGACTGATGCTGAGTGGTCCAAAGTTATGTTTTCTGATGAAAGCAAGTTCTGCATTTCCTTTGGAAATCAAGGACCCAGAGTCTGGAGGAAGAGCGGAGAAGCACAGAATCCACGTTGCATGAGGTCCAGTGTAAAGTTTCCACCGTCAGTGATGGTGTGGGGTGCCATGTCATCTGCCGGTGTTGGCCCACTCTGTTTCCTGAGGTCCAGGGTCAATGCAGCCGTCTACCAGGAAGTTTTAGAGCACTTCATGCTTCCTGCTGCTGACCAACTTTATGGGGATGCAGACTTCACCTTTCAACAGGACTTGGCACCTGCACACAGTGCCAAAACCACCAGCACCTGGTTCAAGGACCATGGTATCCCTGTCCTTGATTGGCCAGCAAACTCGCCTGACCTTAACCCCATAGAAAATCTATGGGGTATTGTGAAGCGGAGGATGCAATACGCTAGACCCAACAATGCAGAGGAGCTGAAGACGACTATCAGAGCAACCTGGGCTCTCATAACACCTGAGCAGTGCCACAGACTGATCGAGTCCATGCCACGCCGCATTACTGCAGTTATTGAGGCAAAAGGAGCCCCGACTAAGTATTGAGTGCTATACATGCACATTCTTTTCATGTTCATTCTTTTCAGTTGGCCAACATTAGAGAAACAAACATTTTTTCATTGGCCTTTAGAATATTCTAATTTTCTGAGATACCAGATTTGATGTTTTCATTGGTTGTCACCTATAAATATCAAAATTAAACGTAATAAACATTGGAAATACATTGGTCTGTGTGCATTGCATGAATATAATGTACAAGTTTCACGTTTTGAATGGAATTACTGAAATATTTTCAACCTTTTGATGATATTCTAATTTACTGGCCAGCACCTGTAAACCAAGCTTCAAGGTCATGATATTATACAGCTGAGAACTGGGAGAGAAAATTATTTTCTCTGATGGCATCTAGAAGAAAAGTGTCTGGGGAAGAAAAGGTGAGAGCTCCCATCAGTGTCCTGACCAAAGTAAAAACAAGCAATGAACAACAAATGGTAACTAAACATCCTCCCAGAGGAACTCCACCCATCCAAGAACATGGTGAAGCCTTTTCAATAGGATGGAGCACCGCATTAGAAGGCCAAAATAGCTAAATACGGTCCATACAAACACAATGGCAAACTTCAAGCATTCGTATAAAAAGGGGATGTCATCAGCTGAGCCAAATCTCCACAGACTAACTCAATGCATCAACTTCATTGAAGCCTTAAAAAGTAATAAAATGCTCAAAATTTCTCTTTAGTACCCTTAGAAGCATCCAACAAAAAGGTCCAAAACATTCAATCGACAAACTTTCCAAACCCAAACAATTGCGTAGCTCGTGAGGCTGTTGGCCACCATTGCAATGTACGTGTACCACCACCCCCACTTCCACCCACACACACACACACACACACCACTCTGAGAGATTTAAACCGGCACTTCAAGGTCATCCAAGGACACAGATACAGTATCACACACAGATGTCCATTCATTAGCATAGCAATGCTGCATTTGCATGCTGGCTTCCAGAAGTTTGGATTTATTGTCACAACCCTCAGATCTGAGCACACCAAGCAGAGGTGCTAATGACGTGGAAGAGAGGGTTGCACTGCCGCTGCACTCCTGTGAATCTGGAGCTTGTCAGGGCACGTCAGGCGAGGAACGCTGCTTTAGAGCGCCAACGCCAGCTGTGAGTCTACGCTGCTAAGAAAAGAAGAGAGAGAGAGAAAAATGGCACCCTGGAGGCTAATCTACAGCAGCGGGGTGAAACACCTTCTCCTGTGTTATGGAGGAAACTGCTACTTCTCCAAGGGAGTGATGAATTAGATGACAGTCCCTAGCAAGTGTAAATAAAAAACATCACCTGAACTCTACCTGCTGCTCCGTAAATATTGCAGACAAGCCAAAAAGTAATTACACACGCCATGGCCTGAAGACACGTCTCCAACTCGTCCAATCGCGACACGCCATGGCCTGAAGACACGTCTCCAACTCGTCCAACCGCGACCACGATGCGTTTATGAATGATGAGTTCTGTGCCGGTTTGGTTTGTGGTGTCAGTTATAGGAGCTGTAGCTCTGGGGCAGATTTTTGGGCATTTAATTAATCAAAGTGTTCAATTACACAACATCAAAAGTGGTGAAGCTGACTTTTAGCCTTTGGGATAATTAAAGGATGGCTGTGCCCATCATGTCTCCATGTTCTTTAGCTTTATGATCAATAGTAAGAACGGAACCAGGAACCTGGAGGTAACGGGGATTCAGAAGCCTCATCTAGGTTATCTTTTCTCACAAGTTTGGGCTTTTACTCTTCAGCTGAGGTCGGTGAGAGTGGGCTTCTGTGGTTTGCACAAACCAACGCTGGTATTGTAACGGACTATTATTTTCCTCTCACTGAATCAGTGTCTGAAGTGTGGAGGTGTCCTGGATGTTTTCTCTCTCCCTGTACGGACTCGGCGCTGAGATGCTCTCATCTCCTCTAGCGGGGTTGATCAGTACGCTGCAACGCAGTAACCGTCATCTTTTATCCTCCCAAACACGTTGTCAATTTTCCGTCGCGGTGACCCAGAATCAGGAGCTCAGATTGGACCTTGGCCCAGGTCGGAGTGGGGGTGGGCGGAGTCACGAAGATCGCATAAAAACAGGGTCAAAAGGGTGAAGCTTTGAAGTGGTTTGAGAGGAAAAGTTTCAGGAAGTACTGGTTTGTCCCAACAGCTTTGGACATAAAAGGCGTAAAGACCCACTCACCTTCGGCCCGGGGAGGCCTTCTCCTGTCGGTCCTCTCCCTCCTTGGACTCCTTGCGGCCCTTGGGGTCCCTGAAGAGAACACACAACGCTCCTAACCTTTAGAGGAAGCTCATCCTGAGCAACTCTATCGCTAAAACTGGATTTCAATGTTAGTTTTCAGGTTTCTGTTAAAAAACTGTAAATGACCTCAACTTGGTGAAATAAAGATTATGCAGACTGACAAGCTAACGGCTAGGCAAGGCACAGCCTGTTTGCAGGTGAAACAGGAAAAATAAGAATATGGTGCAAGAGTTCATTTTGGTCATCAGTCCAACTTAAAAGGTGAAACTAATGTGTGACATGGACTCATTCCATGTAAACGCAGATTTGTAACTCTTTATTTGTTATAACTGTGATGATTACGGCTTACAGTTTATGGAAACACATTCAAAATCTCAGACCTGCTGCTCCGTATATATATGCGGATGACATTCAACTGTACTGCTCTTTCAAGGACACAGAGTTTAACAAGCTAGCTGATCTACTTGATTGCGTTGAGCGTATTAAGGACTGGCTAGCCAGTAGCTGTCTTCAGTTGAACTCAAGCAAGACCGAAACACTGATCATCGCTCCCGAACAGAAAGTGCTTTTAATCAGACAACACCTCGGTTTCCTGAGCTCCTCAGTCCAGACCAGTCTCAGAAACCTTGGTGTTCTTTTTGACCAGTCCATGTCTTTGAGCTGCCACTCAAAACATTTAGTAAAGAACTGCTTTTATCATTTGCAAAACATTTCCAAATTGAGAGCTTTTACTTCAAAATCGGACTTGGAGATGATTAACCATGCTTTTATTTCTTCTCATTTAGATGATTGTAATTCTATCTTTACTTGTTTTAACAAATCGTGTCAGTCGTCTCCAGTTGGTCCAGAACGCTGCAGCAAGGCTTTTAACAGGAACCAATAGAAGGGCTCACATAACACCGGTTTTATCTTCTTTACGTCGGCTACCGGTCGAGTTTAGAATTGATTTTAAAATTTTAGTTTTGACTTTTAGAGCTGTTAATGGACACGCTCCACAATATTTATCAGACCTTTTAATCCCTCACTCTTCTGGCTGCACACTACGGTCCTCGGGTCAGAACCTACTGAAGGTCCCTAAGACCAGATTTAAAACTAGAGGGGGCCTGTCCTTTCACGCTGTAGCTCCCAGACTTTGGAACGCCCTGCCCTTGTTTCTTCGTGTGGCCGACTCGGTTGATTCTTTTAAAAAGCAGCTGAAGACACTTTTATTTAGACAAGCTTTTATGTGAGTTGACCTTGTGCTCCTGTCCTGGTTTGCCTTTTTATGTGTGTCGTGAAGCACTTTGTGATTTTATCTGTGAAAAGTGCTATTTAAATAAAGTTTTACTTATTTACTTAAAAGGTTCAATTTCCTGGACTCAAAGTGTCACCACGAATCAGCTGATGAATCCAAAACACCTGCAGTGTTCTTCAGCCTTTAGATGGTCTCTCAGTCTACGCTGGATTACTGACATGAACAGACTTTTGCACCATATTCGGATGTTTCCAGTTTCCTCTCTGATCGACTGTGGGAAAACTTTGGAAGAAGTTAGTGACTGACTTGCTAATGACATAAGGGAAATTGTATTGAGCCTTTAAGTCTAAATTAAAAGGCAAACAGCACAATTTGTTTGAAGTATTATCATATTCCTCACTGCCATACATGAAAATTCTCAAATTAGTCCAAACGTACCAATATCTCTACCTAGTTACTAACAGTCACAGCCCAGTGAGACAGCAGGTACCGTGCAAAGCACAGGAACCGACCAATGACCAATCACTATCTGTAAATTTGTGGTATTGTTAATTTGTTTATGAGCAGGACCTTAGATTTTAATGAGCCGAAGAGAGAATAGAGGACCTGTCCTAGTTCTTTAGGCGTAAATGTTTGGCCCATATAAAAGTGGGTCAGGTTTTGGTTCCTCGTCTGCTGACCTTTGTGCTAAGGTGGAGACAGCAGCACTAACCCAAACCAAACACAACGTCTTCAAAGGCCTTTTGGGGGAATTTGCTGCTCTTGCTGCGGTGACAACCCTGACACACAAATCAGGTCAGAAACAGCGGGAGGACAGAGTAAAGCCGCCCACTTCTATTGCGCTGCCGCCACTCACCGGTGCTCCAGGTTCGCCTATTCCTGTGGGACCAGGAGGGCCCGGTTGCCCCTGGAAACCGACGTCCCCCTGCAGTGAGTGAGACATCAAGGGGAGAGCTCAGACAGGGTGAGACACAAAGGTAGGTTGTTATGTTCTCATGACACAATTTCCCTAAACAGCAGGGTGGCAGACTTTACCTTGGGTCCCGGAAGGCCGATCCCGGTTTCTCCTTGGATTCCAGGTGGCCCAGGAAGTCCCCTTTCCCCCTATAAAAAGACCGATGAGAGCAGAAATTGTGTATAGGCTTGATAATCGGCAGCGATGCACTTACAGGCACTGTGAAGCATTAGAGTCTGTTGGTGACAACAGGACCAACGTTCCACTGACACCAAGCTGCTAATGTTCACTAAATGTCTTTGTGTGAGGATCTAATAACTACACTGTAATCCCGAATAAGTTCACTGAACTCTAAATTTATGAGGAAACTGATTACCTAATAATTTTTGTTAACTTATCTAAAAACTATAAATTTACCATAACCTAAAAAATATGACCTGAATAAAATTAAAGCATTTAACTACCTCCAACCTATAACTTAGCACTTAAGCAACTTACAAAGTTTTATTTCACTAAACTTGCATATTTTATTTTATTTGAACTTTATTACATGTTTTTACTAAATTAAATATTATAACTTATACGAACTCTAAATGGACCTATTGAACCCTTACCCAAATAAGCTGAATTTACTTAAAAGTGACAATGTGGCAGGCTGGTGAAGGCAATAACTGACACCAGATCATGACTCACACACCCCTAGATGCTAACAGCCAATGAAAGTGGAACACTCAAAGTCAAGTCAAGAGTATCTGGTGTGAACAACCACAGTAATAATAACAATGGGACAGCACAGCCGTACAGCATTACTTTGACCAACCTCCTCACTTATGGGACCAACATGATACAAAAAGTAACACCACATCTGCAACACTGAATGAAATAATAACTGAGAACAACAATCCTCCACAATGAACATGCATAAACACCCCAAAATAGAGCAAAATAACTGAAAATATTTCTACCCACAATGCACCATGCCCAGCAGTTGTTTATTGTTCCTGCAATCCATCAAAATTGCTAGTTTGTGGTTGTTTTTCCTGGAAATCCACAATAAAAAAAATAATACAAGTCTTTTTATCAGACACACTTAGGGTTGACGTAAAGACGAATGGAATAACATAGAAACATTAAATAATAAATCAATAAATTTTTTGTTAATGTTACTCATTAAAGTTAAGTTGTCCTTTGTTGATTAATTAAAGTTACGTTTACTTAAAAAAATAAATAGTTCAGATTAATTAAAACGTTTGAGATCTATGTACTTAAAACAAGGAAAAGGTTGAACAAGCTCAACACATTTGAGTTTAAAAACATTTTTTATTATGAGTTTATTTACTCAATATATTTGATTATTTTGAACTTTTGGGTTTACAGTGTAGAAGAGCGTGCGTTTGTTTCCATCATGAAGAACGGCTGAGGTGTTCAGCGAGGGGCCACACGGAAGGCGTAATAAAGGGGGCGTGGAGATTCTAGGGTGCATACCACCACACTTGTTTTTCCTTTCCTTTGCCCTTTCAAGCAAGTTAGAACAATGCTTAACAGCAGACAGACGTTACTGTGCTTTCCAGGTGATAAAGGATGACAGCCAGACTATTAACACCCACATTCTTCTAAAATAATTAGGAGGGGACCGATTGGTGCGGGGGAGTGTGCACTTATGGCAGAATTGGCAGGTATAACACGGGAGAGGAGGCTAAAGACAGAGTAATAGACAAATAAGTTGACATGTTAATAACAGACGAGCTACTTCAGCGGAGTCGCAAATGTCACGTTGGAAATGAATCGTAACTCACAAATAAATGTTTGACTGTACATTCTCTGCTCGGTGTTATGAGTTCGTAGAGATGCTTGACATTTGTGGTGTTATTTATGCCAGAGTTGGATGATTTCAGTCCAAGTGTTTTAAATGTCAGTGTCGTGAGTGTGTGCTATTGACTAAGTTATTCTGAGGAAAACTCGGAATCAGGCCATATGTCTCGTTTGCAGCGGTATATTGTTTGTTTTAGTCCTGCTTCTCCACAGGTACCACTCGATATGTTTGTGTTGTTGATTCTGCCACATTCACGCTGCCCTATTTTACAGAATCTATACCAGAAAATAAGTGTTTGAAACATCTGACTGAAAGAAAAAGGTCAGTTCTTGAGGTAACTGGCCCGTTGTTACATCATAAATTAACAGAGACAATCCACATTATTTGGAGAGCTGCGTCCAGTTTCAGCAACCACAACCAGAAATAATTACTACCACTCATCTTCTTAAAGAGCAAGTCACCCCCTACCAGAGTCTAACTCCATTCTCGTTTCCTGTTTGAAAAATGCACCACAAGGAGGTGTTGCCTGGCAGAATGAGAGGGCGGAGCCGCTAACAAACAAACACACACACACACACACACACACACAAAAGCTCACAGCAGCATTGTGACATCATATGGTACCAGCTAACATCATAGGGTACCTGTTCACCAATAGGAATGGTGGATTTAGATTCAAATGTCGTGCAGAGTTTTTAATTGAAGACGGGGCAACGCTGACAGTTTTAGACAGAATATTAAAATTTTTTTACTAAGATGCACTAAAGTGCCAAATTATTGACTGCATATGTCTACAGCACGATAAGACACTCATTTATACAGTTTATCAGTAAAAAAGGAAGTTGATTTGGGGGTGACTTGCTCTTTAACTGTCTTTTCTCAGTAGGGAAGCAGGATCCTGTTTAGTCCAAGAGGTGGGGAACACACTGGACAATATTATTATTAGCCTGGAAGTGAAAGTAAGACAGGTGTGCTTTTGAGGTGAAGAAAAAGCTAAATCATCGCCACGGCCTACACTAGTCTGAGGAAGCTAAAGGAGGCTATGAAATCACGGACTGATGATGACCTGACTTTGTTGTTACTGGCTCACAAAGACATTGTGACATCATAATGTACCAGCTAACATCATAGTGTACATCTTAGCCATTAGGAAATCTCAAACCATGATTTTCTTAACCCTCCCACTGTCTTTATGGGTGACCCCACGAGGAAAGTTGACCATTGAGAAGGGTTGATGGTTTATCCCTTGAGGTCCATGTGGCAGGGGTGAGGAGTGACCAAGATGCACTGAAGTGCCTAATTATTAACTACATGTGTCTACAGCACGATTAGACACTCATTTATACAGCTTATCAGCAAAAAAAAGTTGATTTGAGGGTGACTTGCTCTTTAACAATCAGTAAAAGACCAGAAGGTAAGGGGTTATACTCTCCATAGGAGAGTTTCCAGGACCCAAACCACTAAGGCCTGTCCTTTCATTACCAAAACAGCATTTTTTGGACTGAGACAACATTAGAACTCACTGGCAGGCTTGTGTCCCGTTCCATTTGGAGTCAAATTAACACTAAAACAAGATCACAGCAACAGTTAAACATTGTGGTGGTAGTGTGATGATCTGGGACTGCTCCGCTGCTTCAGGACCTGGACCACTTGCTGTAACGGATGAAACCATGAATTATTCTCTCTAGCAGAACAGCCTGAAGGAGAATGTCTGACCTTTGACCTTAAACAGACCATTCCTGCTGTGTCGTTATCTAAAACTAAAGAAATAAACTAAATAAACTAAAGAAATCTGGACTAAGCTTTATCACAGCACTGAACATCTGGCGTTGGAGCTTTGAAGTTTGGATGAGAATCCAATAGGGTTGAAAATGGAGAACACCATAAAAATGTGTTGAATTTGTACAAAGACTCCAGATCAAAGGGTTGGCGCAGGACTCAACGACACGGCCAAATATTAAATACCTGCTTTTACGGGGAACCAGTTCCCAGAGCAGCCACAGCAAAAACATGACCTGTTCCATGTTTTTGACAGGACACAGAAGTTTGGACCACAGTCACTCCGCTATTACACAACATTTCTTTCTTCAAATTCAGTACGATTTCACCGTTTCACCCATACGTAATTGCAGCAGAACCTTCCCAAATTGTTCTAGATTTCCTTCTAATTGTTAATCAGGATGGCCTTTTGTTTTACTCATGTCCGTGTCTTTCACATACTTTCCATTCTTCACTCTTAGGGCAGGCGCTGATGTCTTGACTGGTGCTCTGAGGACAGTCTATCATCAGAGGTTTTGCCTAATACACTTCCTTGTGTTGTGCTAATGATTAGTTTTATTCTCTGTGTGAACAAGCAGTTTTTCTGTCAGCAGGTTATTTTATTCATGTTGGTGTCTGTCTAATCTGGTGTACCAAAGCAGAGATGAAATCATCGCAACAAAAAAATGAGAGAACAGTGGATGTGGTTTTTCGTGAAGGCTACACATAGATGTTAGCCTAAGGTCTGGTGGAAGGAATGTCTGAATGTGCTGAACTTTTAGGGTGGTTAATCACTGTCGACAGCTGCAAGAATGTAAAAAATGAACGTCAGAATAATTACCCTAGTTATTGGATTATAACAAACGGCCCTTGCAAAGACAAAATGAAAGATATCCATTCTAAAGGTTTGTCCCAGAAAAGATGTGTCGATGAGCTATTGCAGCAAACTTGAAATCACCCAAAATGAGCAGGTAAGATGTTCGTAGAATTGTATAAATCCTTGTTACTCTATCAAAGTAATCTGAATACAAAATAAGGAGCTAAAAGAATGCTTCCTAGAGTGTTGTGTGCACTCTTAACCAGTGTTGTGCCCGATCGCGTATATTGAACGGTCGTTCGTGAATTCGTTCGGGTTTTTTTTTTTGTGAACGTGAACTGAACTCGTTCGTATTTTGCCTGACGAACATAAAAGTGAGTGCGTTCGTCCTGGTGTGCGTGAACGGGTTTATGAACGCATTCTTTCACCGTTCTAGCTCCAGATCTCCACTGAGCTTTTCCGGAGCTAAAGCCTAGCTAAAACATCCTGTTAACCATAGAGTTTATAAAAAGTAGAACCCGTCAATGCGGCCAAACATAGGCAGTAGCGGTTGGTGCGGCGTCTACTCTTCTACATCTATGCTGTGTGCAAGAGTCAAAGTTCACTAAAAATTTTAAACGGGACTGAAATATAATACATTTTTCAATGTTTTACACTTTGAGTTTGCTACCTCAGCCTGCTTCCTAAGATTGTTTAATTATTTCCCACTAAAAAAAACTGTTAAAAATAATGTTTTCGTCATGTTATTGAGAATATACTGTAGGGCAAAAACTGCAGCTGGGTTTGAGTGTGGACTGAACGGGTGCCATATAAGTTCACTGTTCCGAAAATCTAACTAGTTCATAGTTCTTTTTTCTCATTTATATATATATATATATATATATATATATATATATATATATATATATATAATATATATATATATATATATATATATATATATGAGAAAAAAGAACTATGAACTAGTTAGTTTTTGGAACAGTGAACTTAGTTCAAAAATTTTTTTAATTATGAACTAAGAAACAAACTAGTTCATTTTAAAATGTATGAACTGAACTTTGAACTAGTTCTTTGTTTAAACAAACTTTCCCAACACTCCTCATAACCTTAACCATTTTCTATTCTATTATTTTATAAATACCGTTCTCAAATCCTTTCTGGCCATTAGTGGCTGCTCCCGCAGTCTGTTTCTGTTATTCCGACAGACTCCAAGAACATTTGTATCCAACCCCGCCGCTTCTACAGAACAAGTGATTAATTTAACAAACAAAAGTGATTTACGATTAAATTTGTAGTGATGGGATTTATGGCTCTTTCATGGGAGCCGTTCATTGTTCGGTTGTTTACGTCAAAGAGCCGCTCAAAAGACTGGCTCCCTTAAACAAAGCAAAGCCAAGAGAGGGGCGGGGGGGCGGGGGGGGGGGGGGGGGGGCGTGTTCCTCCGGTGCCCGTGAACCCGCACGATGGTTGGGTAGCATTCCTCCGACGTCCTTTAGGTGCGCTTTACCGACTTCCGGGGAGGTTTGTTACTGGAAGACGAGATAAACAGCTCTGTACAGGGACTCGGCTCTCATCGCTCACTTTGAAAACCCGTTCAAAAGGTCTGATTTGTTCGTGAACGTCACATCACTACACATTTGTCTATATGCACGGTTTTATTTCAGAAGAAGAAGCTTCTCATCTTCTGATTTTGTTTTACACACTCCAGTATCCATAGAATTTGTGTTGGCATCTTGTGAGACCCCAGTCCCAATGCAGGGGCTCTGGTACTAACATAAGTTACATTCACCTCTCTGCCAACAGTCTCGGGACCCACAGTCTATTCTTAGCTGCCAGCAGCAGTCCTACGACCACCCATATCCACCTGAAGAAGCAGTACAACCAGCCATTTGGTCCTGTGGGACCTGTGAGATCCCAGTCAGAATGCAGGGCTCTGGTTATGTGGAATAAAAGGACAAAATGCACAGTTAAAGAGTAAATAAAAGCCAATTAGTTATAGACTGTGAAAAGGGAACGTTCTACGGTTAAACTCAATCATGAGTCGGCTTATTGTCCTTCACTGATGTAAAATAAGATTTTATGTTTGTCATTGGATTAGATAGTGCACCGGTGTCGATTGCAGAAGGATAATTGGCAATGTGCATTCATGGAGAGGTCCGTTGAGCTTTGGAAAGGGACAGAAAAGGGGTAAGCTGGGAGGTAAGAGCTGACACAGAAGAGGTCTCAACTGTCATCTGACAAGATGGGAACGAGACTAACTTCCCTTGAAAAAGAAACAGACACACTCTATTTTAATTTTAGTCCTTTTTTCTTAATAACAAGGTCCTGACAAGAAGCAGGACCCCAACCGCGTGTCTCCAGACAACGTTCTTGTCTCTAAGAAAGTTAGAACAACATGATTTAAGTCTTTATAGCCCAGCTGAGCTGGCACCAGTTAGAGCTGCTCCACAGGGAGTTTTGTAATGGTGAATAATGGAGAAACCAATATGGAACAAGAACTGTTTCAGGGAGTAAATACACAGGCTACCTGGAATTAGAAATGTTGGTTACATTCAGTATTTTAGTTCTCAGCAGCTGGTTTACGAAAGGAGCAAGCTGCACTCACCTTTTTACCCATCACACCTTCAGGTCCCACATCACCAGGTGGACCAGGCACTCCCTAAATGTGGGAAACACAACAAGAAACTTACCCGTGGTTACAAACAATGTAATAATAAACCATTGACGTACAAGGATGCCCCCAATTATTGAGAGATCTTCCTCTAAAAATGTTTATTTTAATCCGCAGAATTTACAATAGCATTGGTCCACCTGATCTAACATTTGCAGGTATAACAGCTTCAACTCTTCTAGGAAGGTTTGACCATCCATGACCATTCTTTCAAACATTTGTGCGTTCAGGCACTGAGGTTAGATGAGAAGGCCTAGCTTCAAGTCTCTGCTTTAATTTATATCAAAGGAGTTTTATCTCTGCTGCTAGAATCCTGATGCGCACAAATAGGAGGTTTCACATATCCCCCATCCTAAAGGAACTTCATTGGCTGCCTGTGTCTTTTAGGCTTAAGTTTAAAAATTTGGTTTGGGTTTTCAGGGCCCTGCAAGGACAAGCTCCCTCCTACATTAGAGAACTGATCCAGCCCTACACCCCTATGCGGGCTCTGAAGAGTGGGGATCTTAATGTGAGAGAATAGAGATGACCCCCTCTCTCTTTCTTTAATTTATTTGACTTCATTCCATTTCACTGCTAACCTTTTAGAAGTTGGTTATAGCTCGACTTCTCCCTGTGGACTGTTAATGAGTAAACGATGTAGTAACAACATTTCGCCACAAGGGGACACAACGAACACAGTGTGTACTGCTGACAGGTTAATTCAGTGCTGTTTGACTGTTGGAGAAGACGCTGCTCATTGCGCACTCGTCTGTGTTAACAGGTAAAACGGCACAAATAACACAATAACAGCAATGAAGGGGATTGGGTAGAAGTCCGGGGTAATGAGGGGAATGTTGGCCGTCTATCCCTGTATGTTTGTTTTGTAAAATGTTAGTTTTATATGGTAGCGTGAATAAGCTAACAGTTAAGCTAACTTTACCAGTTGTACCAGGACTTAGTGATGCTGCTATAAATGTTGTGTGCTTGAAAGGAGTGAGCTGTATCTGACTTGTTTTAAGGTCAAGCTAAGGATGTGAATGTTTATGTTAAGTGTTAAACGGTTCAACGGTTAATTCAGTGTTGTTTGACTGTTGGAGAAGACGCTGCTCATTGCGCTCTCGTCTGTGTTAACAGCCAAAGATGGAATAAAACCCGCAACAAAACACACTGACTATTCATTCATGTGTGCAACATTAATCTGCTTAAAGTTCCTCGCACTTACTATCGCACTAGAGGTGACTGTTCATTTGAAGCTGTAGCTCCTAAGCTCTGGAATAATCTACCCCTCACTCTGCGTTCTGTTCATTCTGTCGACAAGTTCGAGAGTGAGCTTAACCCCTCCTTTCCGCCGGAGCCGTCAGCAGCACGTTACCGCAGCAGCACGTCTTGCTCGCGTAAGCTGCTGCTTGGCCCTTCCCACAAGACGCGAAGCAGCAGGGGAGCAGCTGTCACCGACAGAGCAGGAAGTCACACGACATTAGCAAAATCACGCGTGACTTTGTCAGTAGACACAACAACAAGCAGGAGAAAACTACAAAAGAAATCACGTTAACAATTAGCATAAACTCAACCATCTTGCCCCAAAACCGCAGATACGTCACTCCATGCGTTATCCTTGACGTTGTCTTTATAAAAACTGAGACTGGGATCAAACAGGATTGGGTACTTCTCCACTTCAGTAATCAACCTTTCGCCGTCAATTATGGAAAAACAAAGGAGACCGCTAGCTAGGTGATAACTTTTTTTAAAGTAAAGCAACCGGAAGGCAGTACGTTTCTTTATTCTGAAAATCTAGGGAAGCTTTGCTCCATTTCCGCATCCGATTTCCTGTCTTTCCTTCCCCAAAAATGTTGAACTTGACCCGTTTCAGAGGCGTAGCGCGTAGAAAATAGAACCGGCGAGTGAGGGCCGCGACATGCTGCTCCTGAGACGCGGCCGACTCGCGCTGCTGACGGCTCCGGTGGAAAGCCGGGGTTAGACTCATTTATTTGTCCAGGCTTTCGTCTAGTTATTTTAGGGCTGTTATGTTTTCTGTGTGGTCATGGCCTTTTATGATATGTTTTTATTTATTTTTATAAATTGTTTTTATTCACAGTTTTTAGTTTCTCATCTCTTGTTAAAACTTTTAAAATGTTGTCAAGCACCTTGTGGCTTATGCCTAGGAAAGGTGCTATACAAATAAAGTTTACTTACTTACTTATCAAATTGAACAGGGAGTCTGCAAACAAGTCAAGTTCCTCCACAATCTCGTTTTCTTTTAACCCTTCCACTTTCCTATCAGGTGACCCCACCAGGACAGTGGGTGGCTAAACAGGGTTTAAGGTTTATGCGTTGCCAGGGGTGAAGTGATGTACCTCTTAAAACATATTAAAGTAAAAAATAAAAATACACCAGAGGTCCATCTGATCCCATTAACAATGCAAGAGAGTTAAAAAGTGTACAGTAGGGCAAAAAGGTAATTATTCAGCCTCCAATAGGGAGGCCTTAAATTTCATCATAGGTATACCTCAAATTTTAAAGACAAAATAAGAAAAAAAAATCCAAAAATCCATCTTAATACTTTGTTACATGCCCTTTGTTGGCAATGACAGAGGTCAAACATTTTCTGCAAGTCTTCACAAGGTTTTGACATATGGTTGCTGGTATTTTGGCCCATTTCTCCATACAGATCTCCTCTAGAGCAGTGATGTTTTGGGGCTGTCGCTGGGTAACACGGACGTTCAACTCCCTCTAAAGATTATCTTTGGGTTTGAGATCTGGAGACCGGCTAGGCCACTCCAGGACCTTGAAATGCTTCCTACGAAGCCACTCCTTCATTAAGGATTGGCTGCGTATGTATTAATTTATCAATTAGATGTGATAATTCCATTAAATATAAAACATCAATCTGATTGATCTTTGAGTGTTTAATCAGAAGATTTTAGTTTCTTTTACTTATCAGGGACCATGTACGGGTAACACACTTGATATTAATTCAGCTGAGTCAAGTATATCGTTTATAAAATGTATTTATTTCTGTTTTCCTAAACTAATGATTATACAGGACAAGGTATGAATGAAATAATGGAATGTGATGGATGAGGTGACTGAAAGTAGTGGGTGAAATGATGGAATGGAAGCTAGATGTTTTAGCAAAACCTTTCTTAAATATCTGAGAGAGTTTGTGGGGTCTGGGTTGTAAAATTAATTTGGCTGTATGTTTTTAGAAGCTAGAGATTTGTTTGTAAAACTATCCAACGCAATTAGTGCCGAGTCTACGCACAGTTGTGTGGAGATCCTCGTGCGATCCAGGGGGTCAAGAGGTCGGGATGGACACTGCCGATGGCGTGGACCTCTAGGTACCAGGAACTCGTAGATTTACTCTGATACAACCGGTTTAGTCTCTCTTGTTTGGATGCCAGGCAGATGGGGTGTTTGTGTCTCTAAATTAAAAGTTAATTTCTGGTCATTTTGATGAAAACCTTGACCATTGGTACGCTACACCCGGGTGGTGTGTTTGGGACCATTGTCATGCTGAAAGACCCAGCCACGTTTCATCTCCAATGCACGAATCGGTCGTCCTGGTCCCTTTGCAAAAAAACAGCATCAAAGCATGATGTTTCCACCCCCATGCTTTACAGTAAGTAAGGTGGTCTTTGGATGCAACTCGACATTCTTTTTTCTCCAAACATGATGAGTAGAGTTTTTACCAAGAAGTTGTATTTTGGTTTTATCTGACCATATGACACACTACTGGTCCTCTTCTGGATCATCCAAATGCTTTCTAGCAAACTTCAGACGGGCCTGCACATGTACTGGCTTAAGCAGGGGGACACGTCTGGCACAGCAGTATTTGAGTCCCTGGCAGCGTAGTGTATTACTGATGGTAGCCTTTGTAACTTTGGTCCCAGCTCTCTACAGGTCATTCACCTGGTCCCCCCGTGTAGTTCTAGGATTTTTGCTCACTGGCGTTGAGATAATTTAGACCCCATGTTGGGGTGAGCTCTCGTGTGGAGCCCCTGATCAAGGGAGATCATCAGTGGTCTTGTATCTCTTCCACTTTCTAATATTTCCTCCCACAGTTGATTTCTTTACACCAAGCTGCAGACTACTAGCCTGTTTCAACAGGTGCTATTAATACAGGTAACAAGCGGAGGACAGAGGAGCCTCTTACAGAAGAAGTTACAGGTCTGTGACAGCCTGAAATATTGCTTGTTTGGGGAAGACCAAGTACTTATTTTCCACCACAATTAGATAATAAATCCTTTAAAAATCAGACAATGGGATTTTCTGGATTTCTTTTTCATGTTGTCTCTCATAGTTGAGGTATACCTATGATAAAAATTACAGGCCTCTCTCATCTTTTTAAGTGGGAGAACTTGTGCAATTGGAGGCTGACTTAATGCTTTTTTGCCTCATTGTAAGTCTGTATGTAGATGTTTTGAGGTGGCCGTAGACCTCCAGGTCCCTATTTCAGGCCACCATATTTAACTTATCATGTAACGGACCCTTCCTTCAATGTTTACCTTTTTTGTAATCATGGTCAAAGCTGTATGTAAGAAATATCTTTTGTCAACATTTCAGTCGGTGCAGTCGTTAAATTGCACATGGCTGACTCAGATCGCTAGAATAAAACAACCGCACCAATTTAACTGGAAATACAAGACAAAGACGATAAATATTCAGCTTTTATATAATGCTTTTCTAGTCTCCTAGACCACTTAATGTGTTTTACATTACCCTGGTGGTGGTCGGAGGGACCGGTGGCGCCAGTGCTCTGCAGCCTCGCCGCTGTCAGTGCGCCCCAGGGCAGCTGTGGCTACATCGTAGCTCATCCCCGCCAGTGTGTGAATGTGTGTGTGTGAATGGATGAATGATACACTGCAGTGTAAAGCGCTTTGGAGTCCTTACTCTGAGAGGCGCTATACAAGTGCGGGTCATTTATCATTACAAATAACACCACTAGAACCATGTGAAGTGGAAAACCGGGATCAAACGCCAAACTTTTGATTGGCAGGCAACCTCCAATCTGGCTAAGCCAGGGTGTCAAAGTGCTGAATGTGTACTAAAACAGAATATCTTCATAGGCATTGATGGTCTAAAGAAGGAAGACGAACTGCACCTGATTTCCACGATTTCCTCTTGGGCCAACGGTACCTTCAGGACCCTAAAGAAAAGGAATACATGTTGATTAATTAGGTCCAACAGTAAAATGTCTATTTTGGTCTCAAGGTTTTACAACATTTAATCTGAAACGTACTGTGTCTCCTTTAATCCCAGGTGTGCCACACTCGCCCCTCTCTCCCTGTAAGAAAAACACAGTTTAGTGGAATCCTTTGCGTAGTGTTGATTAGCGTAATTTGCCTCTCACGATCAAATTCTATGGCATTTCTAAAATCAAGTTCATGACAAAGACTGTGGTCTCAGGGGGGCAATTTATCTTGGAACAATGGGTTTTCATGTCCCATCTGGAAGCTGCTTTGCAGACACTAATTCCATGGGATTTTACAGAATCATAGGGCTTTGAGGCTGGATTCCTAAAGATAAGTATATACAGATTCTTGCATGCAAGTTTGACATTAAACATAACGAAGGGCAACAAAACGCTACAATAAATCAAGCTTACAGCCCTACATCATGGCTGAAACTGATAATTGTACAGTGTCTCTTGCTTTTGAAGGTTTTCAAGACTGGGAAATGTTTGTTTAGGAAAACCAAAGAGGTATAAGAAAATAACCCTGTACAATACCTTCTCTCCTTTGTATCCTGGTTTTCCCTGTGTGTTAAAAACAGTTTTATTTGGACTGCAGGACACAGGCAAAAAAAATAAAATAAAATAAAAAATACAGGTGCACAGATAACAGAAAAATATCAATTTAGTTGTTATTAATGAAAAAGGCATATCCACTTGAACAAGACCCTTGGATTACCTCTCCGCCTTCTCGACCTGGAAGTCCACTGAGACCACTTTCACCCTATGGAAACAATTGGATTTTACAATGTTTACATAGTTATCCATTGAAAAAAATGGACCATCAATAATGATAATAAACTAGTGGGTCTACTGAGTTGGCAGCACCTTCTGTCCTTTTGGACCAGGACTTCCATCCTCTCCAGGGCGACCCTTCTTGCCCTGTGGAGATTAAGATAGAAACTTTAAGATGAAAACAAATCTCAAAACCTTTTAAAAGTATTATTAATTTAAGTTGTTTGATACTCCTTCTGCATTTAATACTTTCTAACAGTGGTCCAAGTAAATCCACAATTTCAAATGTTGAAGGTTAACAAAGCAGTGACTTCTTTTGCAAATATTAGTTTTTCATTGAGTCTCCTTTTGAGATGTAGCTTTGAGATCAGCGGGGGGACAGATTGAGACAGAATGTCATGCATCTGTGACAGTGTGTGTCCTGTCACTGTGACCTGATTGATCATGCGCCCTGGCTACTTGGACAATGGAGATCTCTGTTTGGCTGACTGGTTAGCGCACGTGACTTTCTCCTGGGGGTCTGGGGATTGAATCCCGATTGGACAATTTTTTAAAAATCTGCCACAGATCTCTCTGAATAACTCACAACATTGACGGCTTCAGCAACGCTGTGCCACTCCGTGTATTTTCTCTTATTTGTTTTGCAAAATAACTTCCTTTCATTTCTCCACCTCACCCACAGGCACCTCAATTTCTGCTTCTGTGAAATTGCACTTCCTTGATCTGCCTTGATCTACGGTCGCCATCGTCATTGGTGGAGCGCTGCAACAGCCGGCTTATGTATATGCATGAGATCCACAAGGCACTTTGCATTGACTATTTATGGCAGGAAGTGGGCGTGGTGAGGGTGGGTTGTGACTAAAATGCAGCTGAGAACATTTGTAGATAGTTTCTGATTTATGAAGCGGAGATTGCGTGCAGTTGTGTGTACTCCATGTTTGATAGATCACAAACCAACTTGACGTAAGTTTATTTATTTTGCTGAGCTTAAGTACGGTTTTAGTAAGGATTCTACGCAATGTTTGATAAATGAGACCCCTGATATTTAATGGTGCTGATGCTGCATGTCTCCCAATGTGGATGATGTACTCTGTTCAGTGGGACAGAGGAAGGTGTTTGCATGTAGACATCTGTATAAGATAGTCATAGTTTCAGAGTTGTCCTATAAATCCAGTCTTTATACTTAATTTTTGCTCCCGAGTCATCACTCTTTCTATTTGTCATCAGCCCACCTGAACCATGCCTAATTGTCTCCTTGTCTCACTTGCGTGCTGCGTTATTCAATTCTCCTCGGTCTCTGCCTCCTCCATACCATTCCTGTGCCAAAAGGGATCCAACGTTCCAACTATGTTCTTGTTTTGCCCCCAAGTTTCTGACCACTTTCATGTCCCAGGATTATTCTTGCCTTACCTTACTTAATGTGGATCTTTACTAGGGCTTGTATCAGCTATTCGACTAGTCGACTTAACTGCTCTGTAGGGAAATTTTATGCCTTTCATAGACTAGTCACTGTCACGTTATTATGACCAACAAGATTGAGTATTCGGAAAAGACAGCAGGTGATGAGCCCCTGCGCATTGGGTTGCGCCGCGCTGTGTCAGAGCGTCAATATCTGACGCCCTCCTAAAATGGACATTTGACCGAATTGTGACTTTTACCCTCTTGCAATTTAACCTTTCCCACACCCCCATCCTAACCTTAACCAGCTTGCGCATGCAACGCTCTGATTGTTGACGCGCTCCAAACATCTGCGTCCTGAGCACTGCTATTCTTTTTATGAATGACCCTTGCTTGATTAGTGACAATGTTTTAGGATTGGGGATTTTTAGTTGTTGTTGAGTTTTCCCGTGTCTGTGTCTGGAGTGAGGATTTGTAAGCGGTTTCCATTGTTCTGAACTATCACACAGATTTTTGATCAGCTTATTTTCTGTTTACGCTCACTGCTGTGGTGTGGCTTAATTTCGAAGTTCTGAGCAATAATCACTGAAACTATAAACCCAGTCAGGTTTTCTAACACAGATACTTTATGAACACACATCCAAGAGATTTATAATCAATCTCTAAATGTTTAATATTAGCAGAGGTGTGACCAAATCACTGCTTTGCAAGTCACAAGTCTTTCCAGTCAAATCCAAGTCAAAGACAGCCAAGTCCAAGTCGAGTCCAAAGACGATGAGAACGGGAGAAGGAGCTCCCCAATGTCCTGCCGGTACAGACCCAGTTGGACACATCATGAACTCCTGGAAACAGTGGAACTTGATCTGTTTATCTCAGCTGTCTGTGGAGGACTCTGAAGATGTGTGGATATTCGTGGTGTTGGTGTCAGGTTTCCTGCTTATTGGCCTTGGAGGCTACCTGGCTTACCAGAAAATTAACGAGCTGTCGAGGAATATTGGCCTGATCCCGGAGCTCAGAGATGGTTTTCACCGTGCTGTGAATTCACAGACTCACATAATTGTCAAGATGAATCGTAAGCTTGGGACTTTGGCGGAGATTCATTCTTTGGCACAAAAGATGGATGCCATCAAAGAGAGAGTGGATGAATCAGCAGGGACTGGGATAGATTAACGTCCATTATTGGGATTCTGAGAGGTTGAGGACAAACAAACTGTAAGACAGAGAGGAAATGATCTCTGTCTGGCCCCCAAACAATTTCTAATCGCAATCTGGCGCCCTTGAGCCTGCAAGGCTACAACGAAAACTCCCCCCTCAGAAGATATGTGGAATGTGCCGTCGCTATGGCAGCTCAACTCTGCCTCCTTTCCCAGCCTGGGCGGGACAGCGTGAAGGCCACTGGAGCGTCCAGGGTCACTGCAACCCTCCAACCCTTAATGCTCCTCCCCCTATCCACACTGAGGTGAAATGCGCTGCTTATCGTGGCTGCAGAAACTGAAGTGGGGATAGTCCCAACCCACCACCCCACCTAGTGGACACTTATGTTGTGTTGTCTGAAGTCTGTTGCATATCTGTCTGAGGTGTTTTTTTTGCATAGCAAAGTTGCCCTCCTGGTGGAGGGTAACTCTGAAGTGCCTTTTTTTCCCTCCACCTGAACCTCATGTAACCCTCTTATCCAGGGGTGGGCAGTCCCAGTCCTCGAGGGCCGCTGTCCAGCAGGTTTTACTTGTTTCTCTGCTTAAACACACCTGGTTTGAATCTACTAGTGATTAACAGGCTGCTGCAGAGCCCGATAAGCTGCAGAACAGGTGATTCGTCCAGGAATCAGGTGTGTTGGGGCAGGTAAACAACTAAAATCTGCTGGATAGCGGCCCTCGAGGACCAGGATTGCCCACCCCTGCTCTTATCTCTATTAAGGTAGCGTGACTCAGGGTCGCGAATGACCACAGTCACCAATTCTTGTCATGTGCCTTGCCCATGTATGTCTGATCTATGAATTGTGTGTACTGAAACTCTAATTTCCCTCTGGGATTGATAAAGTATCTTTGATTTGATTGGTTTGAAGTTAATGATGTGGAAATCAAAGTCAAGTCCAAGTCCTTAACTTTGAATTTTCAGGTCATAATCGAGTCATCTGTCCAACTTCAATTTAATGACAATGATAATAAATAAATTCCAGAAATAAAGCTTCATTTATTTGTTCAAACAAGCAGAAAGTGCAACTGAAACTGATTATAAACAAAGTGCTGCTGCATTTAGCAGTAAATCAAACCCAGTACAAAGAATGATTTATGATTTTTGTTCATGTCGTGTCACTTTTGCGCTAAAAATATCATATATGCTCAAGTCATCATCAAGTCAACAGATGCATGTCGATTCAAGTCGCAAGGCATTGGCGTTCAAGTCCGAGTCAAGTCATAGGTCTTTATAGATTTATTCAAGTCAACTCAGAAGTTACTAAAATAATAACTCGACTCTGACTTGAGTCCAAGTCATGCGACTCAAGTCCACACCTCTTGATATTAGACTGCAAGGTTTAGAAATATGGAGAAAATGTCCCTTAAAACAATTTTGTAATGAAGAAAATAATTTACAAGGCCAGTAGGGGAATAACAATATTTGCATGTACTGCCATGAGATTTAGAATTTTGGAATATTGTTTTAATTTTCTACCGGTTTCCTTCAACATAGCATGAACAAACCACTTTGGCCAATGTCGCCAAAATAAAATAAAACGTCAAAATGTCCCTGCAGGTCATGCAAATTCCAGTACATTTGCACACTTGATATTTGACAATTCATGGTTCGCTTGACAAATTTTGACAATATTTCTGCCGAAGGTCCACCAAGAAGCCCTTTCTGATGAAATTGACCATAGGATTCTATAGGACATTGGCTGTGAATGCCACTGCTCCTGCTGCTTTCAGATAATTCTGGACAATAAAATAACCATTCCAATCAGTCGCTCTTCAGTACCAAATGTAAGACCTTTGAGCCTGTGATGAATAACCACAGAGTTTGGAATTTAACGAGTCAGATATTTCCTTATGAGTATAACCAGACGCTGCTTGGGTCTTCGATATGTCTTTGAGCACTTTTTTGTAAGTAGTTCTTCTCTCTGCTTGTCCCTGTCCCTGCTCCTGATGTAAAACAGCTTTTGTTCCGCCGGTTAGGCTTATGGGGGTAATTATTTTCCTCTCATTCAGCAAAAAACAAACAAACTTCAAAGCAAAAAGAATTTACTTTGTATGATTGGGGCTGACCTTCTGTGTAATAAAAGGCACATCCGTACGACATGCTTGGCAGACAACGAAAGTCCAGCTCTAACTTATTTTTAATCTGCCCAGCACGTCCTCAGACAGTCCCGGGTGGCTGGATTCCTTCAGCAGATGTGACTCTGCTGGTTTCCCATGTAAATATGTGTTTGGACCTGTTCTCAATAAACAGCAAGAAGAACGTGAGGTATTTGCTTTACTCTCACTGCTGCAGGGAATCGGGGCTTCTCAAAAACCACACAAACGACTGAACCCTGCAATTATGTAGCCTGTAGGATCCTTCGTCTGCTGTATCCTCAGTAGTGTCTATAAAGGAGACTGTTAGTAAGGCATTAAAACAATACAAGTGAATAGTTTCAAAAGTGATTATAACTGTCATTTTGAAAAATTGTTAAAATAAATAAACTGACAGTTGCAAAAATATTTGGGGGTCTCAAAATGATATTCTCAATGTCAGGATAATTTAACGGAATATTCACAGTCTGCAAAACAAGCTTTAAAACCTTTTTTCATGCCTCGCAACGCTCTAGCATAATATAGCTGTAAATATTTTGAGGAAATAAAAAATATATAGAAAAAAATCTCTCACGGACATCGGCGGGACACGTCGCTCAACTTATACAGAACACACCCCACCATCACCAATTCACACCCATGGTGATTCCTTTGAGGTAGACGGCTCTCGCATGAACGGCACCCTTTCAAAGAGTGATAAGTCCCATCACTAATAATGAAGTGATTCAGTTGCATTTGTCTAAAAACATCAGACACTAACAGACATTGCTACCACTTCCATTTTAGGACAAACTACCAGAGTCCCAAAACGAAAAATGTCTTTTGAAGCCGTGGACAACAAAAGATGATTGTACTAGTGATGTGACGTTCACGAACAAATCAAATCTTTTGAATGAGTCTTCAAAGTGAACGAGGAGAGCCGAGTCTCTGTAGGGAGCCGTTCATCTTGTCTTCCAGTTAGCGATGTGTACCGAATTCGGTACTTTTTAAGGTACCGACCGAATTCCATAGTACCGACTGAGCACCAATTCACGTCATTTGAAACAGTGCCTCATTTCGGTACACGTCCTTCTTAATGAGAACTTGCCTTGACAGCTGTTCATGCGCAAGAGCGTTATGCCGTCGGTCGCTGCAAGCGAGTTGTAAACAGAGCAGCATGGTAGAAAGAACAAAAGCTAAAGCTTGGGTCCACTTCACTAAATGTGATGGGTAACTGGGTGATGATGAAACCAGCGACAACGAACTAAGTGAGACATCCTCATCTTAATCTGCTCTGGTAGGTAAATAAAATGTTTAAGATAACGTTAGCTTGATATGTTAGCTTCCGTTTCGCTAATTGTGCATTTGCTTTCTCCTCGGAACTCCGAATTTTTGACTAGAAGAACATGATCGCGCTCTAAAGTTTGGCTTCACTTTACTAAATGCGACGGGTGATTGGGTGAAGATGAAACCAGCGACAACGATCTAAGTGTGAGGCATCATCGTTTTATTCTGCTCCAGCAGCTAAATAAACTGTTCAAGATAACGTTAGCTTGAAATGTTAGCTTCCATTGCCACCATTGTTATCAGCTAATGGTGCGTTCGCTTTCTCCTCGGAAATTCTAACTTCCCAGTTGGAAATATCAAATGAAAAAGGACGGCAAAAGGAATGAAGATACACAGTAAATTTAGTTCACAGTAAAGATGTTTGCTTCAGTTTAATTATCAGCTTATAAAACTACAAGGACGATGTTAAAATACAAACAGTTGTATGTTATTTATAGTGATATTTATCAAATATGGTTATATATTGAGAAAAATGTATACTTAATTATAAAAGAGAATTAAAATATTAAACACAAAAGTATCTAAAATTGGTACCGTTAAGTACTGGTATCGATTCCTAGGTACCGAGAATTAGTACCGAATCGATTCAAATGTCAAAAGTACCATCCCTACTTCCGGTAAAAAAACCCTCCCCGGAAATTGGTAAAGCGCACCCACTCAAACCCCACCCACCTCTGTGACGGACGTAGGACGAACGCTAACCAACTCCGTGCGCCCTCACAGACACCGCAGGAACATGTTGCTGTTAAGCCCCGCTCTCTTGGCTTCACTTCGTTCAAAGGAGCATGTCTTTTGAACGGCTCTTTGAGATAAACGACTGACTAATAAATGGCTCCCATGAAAGACCCATAAATCCCATCACTAGTTTGTACCTAGAAAATGACGACTGGTGTTAAGCGCTTTCTCATTTACTCTGGAAAAGAGCGAGTTCTAGTTTCCGGCAAACATGGCCCAGGGATGATAGCCGAAAAAAGGGGTGAGAGTTCTGGGACTATGTTTGTGTTGAAAAGCTAGATTTGCCGCTGCAGCTTTAATTTCTGTATAGGCAAACTTTTAGGAAGCTTCTATATATATATGTATATATATATATATATATATATATATATTTAAATTTTATTTTTTTAGAGAAAAGCGAAGAAGAAAACATTGCATCTTGTGAACATAAAGTGCCTTGAAAACAAAAACTTTTTCTTCTGACCAACTTCATCATTTTGAATGTAAAAAAGTACATTTTATTTTATAGTGAAGAAACTATGAAAAAAATTTTTTTTTCTAAACTATTTTATAAAAAACTCTGGACGGAACAAAAAACCATTTAAGTTGCTTGTTACCATTTTTTGTGAAAGGGCTTGCAAACAGCTATTCTCATCCATAAAACTTTCCATTATTTCCATGTTAGCTAAATATGCTAAGGCTTTTTCATGAATGCGAGCCTGCAGAGAGCATTCCAGAAGTAAGATGTAATCACAAATAAAAAAGACCAAATCCATGGCTTCTTGGCCAGCAGGTTTTCTAAAATCATATTTTAGCTTTTGGGTATAGGGTATACCCAAATTTGGGTATGGAACCTAAGTCACGCCCATCTACTTCTGGACCATGGGTCCCTGGAAGAACAAAAAAATGAATGCAAGTCAATGGGACTATAAACGCTATTTTCTAATTCCGCTTGTTTTGTGCCATAGATTTCACATATGATGTCCGTGAATTTTAAAGATACATTTTGATACCAAGAAAGTGTTTATTTTCAAACAGGGGGAAACGTGATTTTAGGTTTTGTGTGAAAATAAGTCCAGGACTACAAATGCGCTTCATGAACGTGACGTCATTGAACCAGACACGGAAAAAACTGAAGGAAAATGGCTGTAAGTTGAGCAAACTCCCCACAGGAGGAAAGAACCACCATAAATCTGGCCATTTGGTAAGTAGCAGCTATGCTAGGGGAGAGAAGATTATGTGGTGGCATATGCAAGATATGCAACGTGCCGATTTCTGGTGTGTAGTCATACTAATTACGAACTTTTACAAGCTGATAAATCTCAAAGTATGTGACTGGCATGGTCGAAACACCCATCATTACTTTTCATTGAAATTGTAGTACAGCATATGTGCGATCCAGGGCGTAAGGCAAAGCGGATTAGAAAATAGCGTTTTTAGCACCGTTGACTTGCTTTCATTTTTTCATTCTTCCGGGACCCATGAGCCGACCAGAAAGGGAGGAGACTTAGGCTCCCTATAGCAATCATTTTCAAAACAAACAAGTGACTCTCTCTCTCTCTCTCTCTCTCTCTCTCTCTCTCTCTCTCTCTCTCTCTCTCTCTCTCTCTCTCTCTCTCTCTCTCTCTCTCTCTCTCTCTCTCTCTCTCTCTCTCTCTCTCTCTCTCTCTCTCTCTCTCTCTCTCTCTCTCTCTCTCTCTCTCTCTCTCTCTCTCTCTCTCTCTCTCTCTCTCTCTCTCTCTCTCACACACACACATTTTGTGAGTTTCATGCTGGTTGCTAGCTACGGATCAGCAAGAGAAGATTTTAGATGACGAGTCAAGATGAGTTATAAACAATAAGTAGATTGATACATTTCACTGTATTATCTAGTTGTTAACTGAAACAGAAGCTTGAGATATTTTTAGGGCTGACTTTGTTTCCAATTCACCGTTAGCATTGTTAGCTCAATGTTAGCCTCTAGCCTGCTTTTTCCAATATTAGAGTAAAATACAAAGGTGCCAGGGCTTCTTCTTCTTAGGGGTACAAGAAATAACTTTTGGGTCACTCTTGTTACTAGATTAGGATTTTAACAAAACAGTGCTGCTTTTTGCTGGCCAGTGTTGAATTACAAATGCAGCACAGACTCGGCAACCCCATGGGCTCACAGATTGTAAACAGTGACTACACTCAGCTTTTTTAAAAGGAGAAAACCCGGCCACCTCCCAGCTGGTTGAGAAGAAAATCGATTTCAGTGTAACCTTCCTTCCAACATGAGACATTAGTCTGATTTGTGATCATTTCACGGGTAAAATTCGTACTACTGCGTACCTTTAAAGAACAGAAACTCGAAAGACTAAAAACATGCATATGGAGGCAAGAAAATATGTCTTGTAAATAAAACTTACGGCAGGGCCACTTGGTCCTCTTTCACCCTTCTCACATACACACTTGCTCTGGGCCAGGGGACACTTGAAACACAAGAAAACATGAGTGAGTCAGGCCATATGGAAGAACAAAAACCAAAATAATTGCAAAAGCCGGCCGTCTGGATACGCACCCCATCATCTGCCAGCGCTGTCTGTGGGGCAAAAAACACATCAACATCAAGATGATTGTACAGATACTCCATATGGTCAGTTTTAGCCTGTACTCTACACATCTAAAAACATTGATTATACTTGTATATCAGAAGATCAAGACAAGTGCACTGCCACACACGTGCTCAGCTGGTCAGGCTTGGTTGTTGCGATAATTGAAGTCCACTCAAAATGTGCTTTTGAGTCAATCAGCCATTTTTTCTTCTCCTTGGAAAAGACAGAGGTCTTACAGATGGTTCCATGTAACAAACCATCTGGCGCATCAGGTTCTTCCTCATGTAAAACACATCTGGCCAGAGCTCTGATTTTCACGGTTCTTCTTTGTCTCCAAGCCAACACTACTTAGACAAAAACAACCAACATGGATTGATTTGTAACACTGTTCCATATCTGGGGGGGATTGGAATTTAGCCAGATGAATATTAAGATGGAAGACGACGATGTCTTGACTGGGGTGGAGTAAACGCTTATGACACACAGATGCTGCTTTCTCATGAGGAAATTACCTTTAAGTTGCACTCCTTGCATGCCAACAGTACAATCTCTGCGAGAGCCAATGCTCAGTCGCCTTTAAAGATTTTCATTCATCTTGTTTAGATGCATACCACGTGTGTCAACACTTGAGCTCCAGTTTGAAGTTGTATTTGAAGGCTTTGTCAGATGATGTTGCGTGCGTGCCTGTTCTCAACCGGACTCCGCCGCTTACTTCACCCGATTTTCCAACAAAGACTTTTTAATCCAGAACATGTGTGCTGACATGAAGTCAAGGATGTTGCTGAGCAACACACATTCTAATTATTGTGCAAGTAGCTTATAAAGGTAACCACAGGCATCAAAGTCAACGTACAGAATTGATAGAGACAACAAACAGGCCTAGACTGGGGGTTTGGCCATTATAAAGCATGATTTGTGGAAAAGTATTAAAAAATTACTTTGCTGAATGTAGAAGGCTTCCTGACTGATATTTATTTAGAAAAACAACAGGACTTAGCTAATGAGCTCATCTAAAACTGAAGTGTACTTAAGGCTCCCAGGAACAGGAATTAAGTTTCTTGATTTAAAATTTCTTTAAAGGTGTGGTTCACTCGTTTAATCAGTACATTTGCAGTGGTCTTTAGTAGAAATGAAGCTCTGGTGTGCCTGTGTCAGGCACGTGGCCAGATGAGGCCCGCGAGAGATTCAAGTGTCTTGAAATAGGTCTATGGCGCTTCAAAGTGCACATTGGCTATGAACTACATTTCCCATAATGCATGGTGATCGTGTTCCCACTGCAGTGACTCGCCACTAGGTTGCAGTGTATCCACTTGCGTGTTTAATTAATGCCACAAGTGAAAATAACTCTACACATTATCCCAAAATGTCCAGGAAGAGAAAGACTGATGCAGAAGGAAGGCGTTTCAACAAAGATGGAACATGTTGATGCTTCAAGGAGAAAAACCGGAATGTCTTTACAGCCATTAGCATCCATGCTACTAGCATCAGCGTCTGCAGCGTTACCTCCTCTGCCTCGGACAAACTGAAAACACTCCTCTTACTCAGTGCTGACTTTATTCAGCAATTAGCCGACTTTGAAGCCCCTGAAATGGGTTTTAACAGCTCAGTAATGCTTGCTGCTGACATAGAAAGCACACCGACCAACTTCCAGACCAAGATGAGTTTAGTGACTTGAGCGTGTTGCTAAACACGCTCACAACACGCTCAAGTTAGTATGGTGGCTGCTGCAGCTTTTATCCCCCTCCCCAACACAACTGCGTGATCCAGATGCTCTCCATGTCCAGCAGCACAAACCTGTGTGAGCAACTGTTTCTCACTGATGAACTCCTTCCTCAGAGCCCAAACCCACAGGTGCAGGTCTGGCTGGAACAGGTGAGCATCACAGGAAATCAGAGCGGAGAAAACTGGGATTGAATTATTTAGCTTTTATTAACCTTTTCTGCTCCAAAGCATGAAAGTTATTAGGTGAGATATTAAATTTTCATTTAAGAGAATTACTATTTTTTATTTATGTTGTTGGCCTGTGCAAATAAATTAAACCTACTTTAAAACAGGACAGATTACAGATAGAAGAATAGAAATGGAAATAAAATGGAAAATCCCTTTATTGTCCGTGAGTGGGGAAAGCTTGGTGTCACGGCAGCAATAACATTCATTACAGGAGCAACAAAGGAGAGTAAAAAATAAAGAATAAACAAGAAAACAAAATAGAAACACTTAATAGATTCAAAAGATAAAAAATAAGAAGAAATGCTGAATATATACTGATTTTAAGGAATAAAATATTTTGTAAAAATTGAGACATAAGTAACAAATACCACTGATGCGTGCTTAATTTAAAATCGACTTGCTCATGTGTAATTTGGTTATTCCACATTCAGCGTTACTGCAAAAAGAAGTTTGTTTCCAAATTAAAAGGTTCAACCGTTCATGTCTGTAGATAAAGGAAAATGTGCACATTTGCCGTTACTTTTTAAAAAATATTGAGTTTGGCCCACAACTTCGTCCCATTTTGGCCCAGTGTGAATTTGAGTTCGACACCCCTGATCTAGAGGGATGCCAGATCAGAGAGCTTCAGACAGCAGCATTTGGAGTCCTACTTCCTGATGTTTGGATATCTCACCTCTGATTGGATAGCAGCAATGCAACTCTACATTTCACTCTGTTTACCTTGCAACATTGATGTTTCATCTTTATAAATAACACAAAGCCTGGAGGAGCTTCTACCGTGTGGTGGACCTGCTAATGCTAACGGTTAGCTTAAACTAGCCGGGATGTTACCTGCTGTTTCCTGGGTGCTAAAACAACAACAGCCTTCCCCGTCGTGAGTCAAAATGGGCGAGTCCATGAACGTTAAGTGACAGTGTGACGTAACTCTGTCCAGCTTTTCAAATCCTAGAGTTTCACCGTCTATTTACTATCAGAAGCTAATGCAGGAGATAGGTGTTGCAGACTATTTTGATGTTCAGCCTGCATGGAAAACTCTATATAAATAATAATTAAAATGGTTTTTCAGTGTTCCTCCCCTTTAAAGGAAGTTGGACTTGATTGATTACTAAATACATAATTATTAAACATAACTCTTATTGAGAAAAATCTACAATTCACTGCAGTCTCTTGCAATACTGGCAATGCAATAAACTTTCTATATAACATGTAGACATAATTTTAAACAAGTGTTAAAGAAAACATTTAGACAAGCTACTGATTTGAGAGGTTACTGCAAACAATCTAAGTTGGCGGTGTTCATAGAGGAGCTGTTAGCATAGCAGCAGGTGTGCATTAGGGATGCAATAAGCCAAGAAGTCATAGCAGCGACTGGTATCAGCAGCAGACGTGAGAGGAAGTACTCATTGGCTGCATGAAGAAAGTAATATTAATACTAACATTTGCAAGATATCAGTCTACATAATGACTTTGTGAGGCTTCCATCTGCCATAAATTTCTGCCCTCTGGTAAAAAGCAATTATCAAACACAAGCAATTTCACAAGTGATGTAAGTGCCAATGAGAGGATGTTGGTTCTGGGTGTTTACGCGCGAGTCTGAGCGTGTACATGGAAAACACGTTATGTCTCCTTGATAAAACTGTAGATGGAGGGAGAATTTGCCAGCTGCTTTGAAAATAAGATTCCTATTAACTGTTTTGTCGGACTTGAACTAAACGTTTTTGTCTTAATGAGGCCGCTCGGCGGCTAGGGAGGGTTTCAGTAGAGAGCGACGACTGACATTTCAGAGTGGAAATGAAATGCTGCGTAAGGTTAGGGTTAGGGCTAAAAAGGTTGAGCGTTATTTTAACAAAAAAAACAAGGGAATGACAAACATGACCGTGGATAGACAGACTAGTATTAGCCTCAGGAATTACTCTATTCCAGGGATAGGCAACCCTGGTCCTGGAGTGCTGCTATCCGTCTTGGTTTAGATGTGTTACTGTTCCAGCACACCTGACTTTAATCAGTAGGTGATTAACAGGCTTCTGCAGAGCTTGGTGAACAAGTGAATCAACCATTCACTTATGTGTGCTGGAGATAAAACATGCTGGTTGTCGACCGTCACTCCTGGACCAGGATTGCAGGTTGCATTTCTAACCCTTGGTATGCGGTTTAAATACCAATAAGGACCACATGGGGGCATGGTGGGAGGGTGGCTCGCCATTTCAAGTGCTAAGCCAAACAGAGTTGGTGACTTTAGTAATTTTAAAGTGGTTTTAACCAAAAGCTTTATTTATCTTTGGACATTGGCTCCTGTTCACTGTTCCAGCCTTTGAAGCTGACGTAAATCCGAGAAAAAGGTTCACATTTATTGTTTAAACTTCTGGCCTTAGACCAGGGGTCTATGACTTTTACAATCTAAAGAGCCATTATTCTCTTTAGTCCACCTAAATGAAAATTGCGTATAGTAGCAACAATCATCCCTGAGAAATATCCATGGCAAAGGATTTGGGCTACTGAGAAAAAGTGATTGTTTTCTCTAAATTCTTAGAATAACACGAGAATCCTGCAAAAACCATAAGATTCAAATCTGAAGGACCAGAACTTTCAGATCGGATGTTTAGAGCATTTAGTCAGAATTCTCCTTATAATAAACTGAGACTTCTGTTTACGTCTTCCTTCAGCACCCACTTGTATAGTTTCCCTTGTTTTTAAGGACATACCATGATGTATGTCAGTAGGGTAGGAAAAAATATTAGTACTAACACTGAAGAAGCTGGCAATATCTAAATAAACGTTGGCTAAACAAGCCAAACAAATCTGGTTCCTTGGAGTTAAACATTGTAGGAACAAAGACAGTCATAAGAATTTAGCAAGCATTCTCCAAAATTAGCAAGTGAGATTATGTTTTACTTACAATCTCCTTAATGACTTTGTCCACAATGCCTACATCTTGCAAGTTGTGAAGGTAGCGTGAAGCTGGGGAACTAGCAATTAGCCGTAGTTGTGCAACATTGGCAGGCTCGTTGGCTTCACGTGTGATTCCTATCGTGAAAAACCGCACACCCTGGTTCTTTGCATCAGCCAAGGCTGAAAATATGTCTGGGTTCCTTGGGTGTGAGATGCCGTCAAAGAGTAGAATGGCCACCTTGATGCTGCTGGTATCGGACTCTTCCAAGTAAATGCGGGTCAGGTTGGTGATGGCGTAGGTGGTGTAGGTGCCATGGCCGATGTATACAATGGGGGCAATTTGAGCCTTGAAGTTTTCGATGCCCCTCCATTGTCTGAAGGTCTGCTCTATGATGACATGGCTGCTGTACTGCAGGAGGGCCGCACGTGAGCTGAGGCCTCGGCCGGTCTGGAGCTGGAGGCCTTGCAGCCGGTCCATCACGTTTGAGGCAAAGCGTTTCTCCTGGTCGTGGTTGTCCTTCGCGCTCTCTGAGCTGTCGATCAGAAAGGCCAACTCTAAGCTGCAGTCCTCGTCAACCAGAGCTGGCAAGAGAAGAATTAGCAGCTTTAAACATTTGAAATGTGATCAACTTGCAAAGACCTAATTTGAACGTTCTGCAGAGGTGGTCTGGACCGACAGGCTCAATAGAGACAAGATCTGCATTTCCATGAGGTGTTGACTGTTTGCTGGGACTGTATCAATTCAGTTTTTTTATGTTATTTCAAATATTTTCAAATATAAGTTTTAAGTTCAGCTAAAGCCTTTTTGTCCTTTGTAAATGCTACATTTAGGTTATGTAAAAGATTTTTGGAAGTGCAATTATAAGGACTCCCTTTGATGCCAGTGATAAAATATGAAAATATGGAGTGATCAAGCTTACCATAACCATTTTATTTCAGATACAATTTATTTGGTATTTTTTTCTAGTTCCTCTGCTTTTATTTTCTAAACCAAACATTGTTGTTACTACCCCTGATTATCTATGACTATAGTACCAGGAGGAAACACGTGATCATAAATAAAAGATGACATTCTTTTTTCCTTTAGAAATCAGGCTGAGATACCATGAATCCATGAAAGAAGCCAAAATTATAAAAGATTTTTTTTTCTATTTTAAACTATTAAACCATTGATACCTGGAAAATTAAACAATAGTAGAAAAAAATTAAACAGAACTATATCATTGTCCAATGGTAATAAAACACTTATAATAAATCGTTTTATTTTATAGACAAATAAAATTGAGCCTTGCCACCTGTGGATCCTCCACCAGAGGGCAGTAGACATGTATTGAACATGATACTACAGGTTCCTGATGAAGGTACTAATCCTGATCCTTAATCTGGATGCTTTAAAGCCGTAATGGTTTGGTGGGAATTTAAAACAATGGTCTACCAGAGGTTATTGGACAGGGTTGATCTTAAGAAGGGTACAGTCACGTGAGAAAATATGTTTGACTGATAAACTTGATTGATTTTTCCACACTGGCACCACATCAGAAGGCGGTGGTCACTAACCTAGGGGTAAAGTTGGACGCAGAGCTCAGATTTGAGACTCAAGTGAACGGAATCGTGAGATCTTGCTTCTTTCATCTACGACGTATAGCGAAAATTAAGCCATTTCTGTCACGTAGTCGTTTGGAAACTGTGATCCATGCAGGCTGAATTATTGCAACTCGCTATATGCGGGGCTTAGGCAAGCTCCAATAGCACGCCTCCAGGCGGTTCAGAACTCGGCTGCTCGGTTGTTAACATGTACCAGGAGGTCTGAACATATTACACCAGTCCTACGTGCCTTGCACTGGCTTCCTGTCTCCTATAGCATCAGGTTTAAGGTTATCCTGTTTGTGTTTAAAGAGCAAGTCACCCCCAAATAAACTTTTTTTTGCTGATAAACAAAATAAACGAGTGTCTAATCGTGCTGCAGACATGTGTCGTCAATAATTAGGCACTTCAGTGCATCTTAGTTAAAATTTAAATATTCTGCCTAAAACTGTCAGTGTTGTGCCGTTGTCAGGTAAAAACTCTGCACTGTATTTTAATTTAAATCTGCCACCGCTATTGGCTAAGAGGTATGCTATGATGTAAACTGCTACATTATGATGTCGCAATGCTGTCGTGAGCCTGAGTGTGTGTGTATTTGTTAGCAGCTCCGCCTTCTCGGTCTGCCAGTTAACAGCATGTGTTGCATTTTTCAAACATGAAGTGGGAGTGGAGTTAGACTCTGGTAGGGGTTGACTTGCTCTTTAAGGTATTAAACTCAGGGGCACCTAAATACCTTTCTGACATCATCCACCGACATGTCCCGGTGCGTTCCCTTAGGTCAGCTGACCAGAGACCATTAACAGTGCCCAGGTACAGCCTGAAGTCTCGTGGGAGTCGTGCCTTTTCAGTGCTCGGACCAAATCTTTGGAATGAACTGCCAGCCGACGTAAAGCAGGCCAAATCACTTGAGACCTTTAAAAGCCGACTTAAAACACATCTGTTCTTGTTGGCGTTTGGACATTGAAGTTGGGATTGCGTGGGCAGCATCACTTTGAATGTGTCTGGATCTGATTCTGGAAATAGGACTGATATGGATTGCGAACTTGTACTCGGGATTTCTTCTTGTATTTTCAATGGTTATATGTCTGTTTTATTGTTGTGATTTTCATTGGTGTACAACGCTTTGTTTGTCCGTTTTGGGCATGTGAAAGCGCTTTATAAATAAAGTTGATTTGATTTGAAAATTGTAAAAACTAACTGTAAAAACAACTTTTGGGTAAACTATTTAGAAATGTTTGGGTTTGAGTTGTTTTTGGTCGTGGAAATTCACGCACGATTGGATTTCTGACTGCTAACTGCTCTCCTCCTTGAAAATTCACATCTGATTCTCCAAACTGGGATCCTTCTGACTGTTGGCTATAAAATATTAGACACAAATTGCTAAAAAAAAATACTCTGCTCTGTCTCTGGTTATTGCACACATCTGTTTAAAATAAGAACAGGGCAAAGTTCTTGTGTTTTCACTACCAGGGTAAACTAGCTAGCTAGCTAATGTTGCGTTTTTGTTTCCCAAGAAGGAAATAAATGCATTTAAAAGGTTTTTCTCAAAATGGATTACATCGGTGGGGTGGCACTTTGGCCTTTCCATAATTGCTCCTAATAAATAAACGATTAAAAAACTACCTCAAATAAAAAATAATGAACTTAATGAATTTTAGAGTTTACATGGAATTAAACACAGAATCTCCTCAAAGGAATTACACCAAAAGTTCCAGTAATAGGTTGAGATCTGTTTGTTTTTGACTTTTTGCAAAAGTTTTTTTTAATTTAGTAGAAAAAAATTGTGGTTTTTCAAAAATGACTAAAACTGTGTTTTAGCTAGATATTTACAAACAATGTGGAAAAAATATTCTGATATTAATCTTCAAATTCTGAAAAAAAATACATATGTTTTTTTTCACTGGCCCTAATCCTCTTCCGTAGAATTTATCAAAAATTGTCAATGGGCTTTTCCCATTCTCTAAACAGATGTTCTTTAGGTGGCCTGAGGCTGCAGACCGCTGCCGTCATCCATTTTCTGTTTTATTTTTGCTTTTCTTCTGCTCAAACCGGCTGTTTTGGCATCATAACAAACATCGAGTGTTCTCCCATGCATATGCATTATTATCAATGCCGCTGCCAAGATAGTCGTCAACATTTCCACAATAGATCATCTGTTACTTTTATTTAAAGCCAAGTGTGACCAATGAGTACGGCTGAAGGTTTGTCTCTGTTCAGGAGGCTCTAAAGGGCTTTCAGAGAGCGACAAGTTCTTAAATGTGACGCATCGTTTGGAAGAAGAAATAAACCGAACATCAACCTTCAGCTGTGGAAAGAGGTCGCGGATCTAATTTAGGCTGAGGATAAATTTCATTAATCTTCACAGGAATATGTCACAGAGAGAATGTGCCTGAGGAGAAACGGGCTTCTGGGTGAATAAAACATTTGGGTAAGAGCTGTGAGCGCTCGGACTGGAGATGGATTGCTCAGAGAGGCTGAGATACCATCAATCCACCACGAACGGATCCTCCAGCGATGTTCTTCCTGAGGATCGTGTTCGTTTCTTCACACGTGTGTGGCAGCATAGTTTCTCACCTGCTCACCTCTTTTTTTCAGTGAAAGCATCAATAAAGAAAAAAAGATCTGCTTTGGCTCTTAAAGTAGAACAAAGTGACCCTGTAACTTACATTTACCGTTCTGTGGTATGGAATTAGGGGAAAAGAGTTTGCTCTTCTTCTTGGGGGTTATGACCTCGTCTTCATAGTCTTCATCAGGCTCCTGGGCACAGAGACCCTGAAGAGCCCACAGCAAGAGGAGCCCGTGCAAAGAGGGAAGCATGGTTTTCCTGAGAAGGCTCTTTAATGCTGAAAAAGAGAATTAAAAACACAGAAAAGACTCCTAGAACAAGCTTTAACAAGTGTGCACGCCGCAGACGCTGACATGAAGGATGCATACCTCACTCTGTTGATCTAATGATGGAAAAAAAAGATCTTCATTCGGATTTCTCTGGGCCAGTTTTGATGTCTTCTTCCAGTTCTGAGAGTCTTCAGGTCAACTTGGCACCAGAGGCGTACCAGCAGCAGAGTCCCGGTTCTCATGGGACTCCCTCAGATTCATAAATGAAGAAAGTCCAGCCCTTTTTGGAACTCCCTCATCGGGTAGAGAGTGGGTGTGGAAGACATAAAAAAGGGAAAAAAAGAAATTCCCTCAGCGGGACTGAACTGAGTGCCCTCTCCTTTGTTTTAGACGGGCAGTTTTACACTTTTAACCCTGCTATTTATAGAAACGGGAGCTAAATCAGCTGCGTGGCATCAAAGCGGTTTGGATTTGTGGAAATGAGAACGTCAGGGTAGGGCTGCTCGATTATGGCAAAAATAATAATCACGATTATGGTGACTGAAATTGAGATCACGATCATTTAGGACGATTTTTCAGTTTATGTTGATTTTATTTGTTTTTATACAGTCATAAAATTGCTCAGGGCACAATCAGGACAAAAATAAATAAGAAACAAGATGATCACTAAAATAACTCCTGATTCCCAGTATAAAAAGACCCAAGCACTATAGACCTTGGTTTAACTCATTTAAGTCTAACCAGTACAGACCCAAATACCAATATCTTGCAAATACTGACAGCAAGAATTATACAGTGGCATTTATAACAAATAAATGCAAATAAATTGATGTTCACAAAATGTTGCATAACATTTATTGAGTCGTGTCAAGGTGCTGTAGGAGAGTGCACTAGCACCGTGTCCTCAGAGAGATTAGTTATTAGTTATCAGCGTGAGGAACTTATTTCTACCTTATTTATAAACTATTTATTTACAAGTCCATCAGTTAATGTAATAATTGTCCCAACCACAGCTGCACCCCCCACTCCCCAACCCGGTTTCAGCAATCAGGGGCAAGCTGCACGTGTGTTTAGCACGCGCACATTTAGCCGTTTTTAGTGGCTCAGGAGTCCGCAGGTACGGTGTGTGTCACTCACTCTGGTTACTCCAACATGGAGCCGGCTCTGAGAGCCGTTTCTTTAGCGACCGACACATCACTACATCATTTCCTAATGTCCTGAAGAACGGTCTGGAGCGCAGGCGGAGTGTTTAGCTAACCTGCAGGAAACGTCGACGACAGTTATCCAGAAAGTAGCTAAGGGTTACCAGAGATGTTTCTGAGGTGTTCGCTAGGTACTTTTAAGATTTAAAAAGTCAAGAAGGGGGTCTGAAAAGCTGTTAGCGTCAAAGTCGCCAAGTTGGCAACACTGTGGGAGGAGCGCTTCATTTGCAACTCAGGGCAGCGTAAGTGGGAGGAGCAAATAATCGGCTTGTTTTGTTTTTATAATCGTTCAAAACTCAGATCGTAATCGTGATTAAAGTTCGATTAATTGAGCAGCCCTACGTCAGGATAATGTCGCTACGCATTAAATAACAATGTGAATAACTTATGCAGATAAAACTACTCAAATTTTCTTCCTTGATTGATTAAATTCACTTGAAATAATTTAATTCACACGACTTTGTTTATATTACACAAAAAGTGATTTTCAAAACTAATTTGCTGATTGAAGTTTTTGTGCATTATGATGATCATTTCTACTTATTTCATCATTTGAATCCACCTGTTTTACTCATGTGTGTTATTGAAGATATGGGTGTTAGCTGTCGGGGAGCTCGGATCAGGAAGAGTCAGCTAAGGTGGCGCCGGATCACCTGATCACCTCCCTCTGGAGGATGTCCAGCCACTTCCTACTGGAGGACACCGCCAAGAGGACCCAGAACTTGGGAGGGACTGTGCGCCGTCTCTTCTCTGGGAAGGTAAACGACTCACAAGGCATTCATTCGTACTAGAGACCATAACGCTAACCCTATGTAAATGGTGGCCACGACCCATAGACAGAGCTCGGTTGTGCAGCAGAATCTACGATTGTCTGAAAAGAATGAGTGAATCGTCGTCGTCTTCCTCCGCTTATCCGGGTCCAGGTCGCGGGGGCAGCATCCCAACTAGGGAGCTCCAGACCGTCCTCTCCCCGGCCACCTCCACCAGCTCCTCCGGCAGGACCCCAAGGCGTTCCCGGACCAGATTGGAGATGTAACCTCTCCAACGTGTCCTGGGTCGACCCGGGGGCCTCCTGCCGGCAGGACATGCCCAAAACACCTCCCCAGGGAGGCATCCAGGAGGCATCCTGACCAGATGCCCAAACCACCTCAACTGACTCCTTTCGATCCGGAGGAGCAGCGGTTCTACTCCGAGTCCCTCCCGAATGTCCGAGCTCCTCACCCGATCTCTAAGGCTGAGCCCGGCCACCCTACGGAGGAAACTCATTTCGGCCGCTTGTATCTGCGATCTCGTTCTTTCGGTCATTACCCAAAGCTCCTGACCATAGGTGAGGATTGGGACGTAGATCGACCGGTAAATCGAGAGCCTGGCTTTCTGGCTCAGCTCCCTCTTCACCACGACAGATCGGCTCAGCGTCCGCATCACTGCAGATGCTGAACCAATCCGCCTGTCCATCTCCCGATCCCTCCTACCCTCACTCGTGAACAAGACACCGAGATACTTAAACTCCTCCACTTGAGGTAGGACCTCTCCCCCGACCCGAAGTCGGCAAGCCACCCTTTCCCGGTCGAGAACCATGGTCTCAGATTTGGAGGTGCTGATCCTCATCAGTGAATGAGTGAATCAGCCGTTTAAAATGTACAATTGTTACTGATTAAAACTGAGTTATATTTCATTTCCTGCTTCTCGTTTGTCACATTAAAAATATAAAATGCAGCTGCTCTCTGGTGTGCAGATATTATTTTTTCTCTTTACATGTGAAAAGTTTGTTTCCAACAACAGAAAACTTTGTTTTAAACATTTTTCTGAAAAATCCATATTTTTTATTCTTTGTAATGTCAGACAAAAATTTAAAAAATGGCTTTTATCGGTTTTTGCAAATGAGGTTTTGTGTTTCTGAGCCTTGCCCTTTAATTTAATCCAGAATACTGGAGCGTTTTGGAGCTGTGCCTTCAGGCTGCACACCCCGCAGAAGCAGCCAACCACGATCCTCTGTGCAAACACCAACTCATTCATTTGTCTTCTGGTGTGTTTGGCATGATGAGCGACACACGCTTTCAAAGTCAGAGATAAGACGGGTCTCATTCACAATAAGAACAAATCAAAACTCAGATTATTAAGTTGTTCAGTTATCTCCCAAATGACCCATGCAAGCTGTAACAAGGCTGCATTCAGCGAGAAACAATGGTCAAATTACCGTAACTAGATTGAATTTCCTCAATTAGAGAAGAATTATAATCCGGTAAGAACGTCTGCAATCTGGAACTGAAGTGGCACAATCAAACAGCAGGGATAGTGGTGAGGATTTTTATTGCTCACTCTCTAAAAAGCAGGGAAAGGTCAGCTGTCACTCAAGAATGTTCTCCTTAAAAGATAGTCCTCGTTTAGGTCCTGCTCTGCTCCCATTTCCTCCCTCCAGCACATTAATTGGAAAAAGCACGGATTGGTTGGAATTCATTAACGTGTTTGTTTGGAACTACGGTAAAACGTTGGGATAAAGTTTTAGGGTTAGGTGTTGGCCTTTAACTTTGCTCTGTAGGTGGAAAGAACCACAGAAGAGATTCAAATCGGTCACTCGTTAATAATTTTTCAAAAGTCTTTCCAAGATAACGAGTCCACACGGTCACCCTTTTGCATTTAAAATCTGTTACTTGGTTAACGGATTCCACAAAGCAGACCCCGTCCAGTTTTAATTAAGTTCATCGACAAAATCGACCGCATGGTGTTTTAAGAGTTTAAAGAGGTTTTGCTACAGATGGCCGGTCTGAGCGATTCTCTAGAACTGTCAAATCACTCAGGATGATCCAGTTTTAAGGTTTTGATGTTATGATTTGCACAGCCAATCAAAGGCTGACAGCTTGGGAGATGTTACCAAGACAACTCAGAAACACGCCTTCTTGATACAAGATGTTCTGACTGGTTTAAAAGTCTCTATGTGTTGGAGTTTAACTTAACCGTACTTGTTATGGTGTGAGTGCAGTGCATATTCATTTAAGAAATCATTCTTGAATTTAGCAATTGATTCGAGCTGGAGTTGTTCCCTCTGTGGAGGCAGACAGATGGGACCTTGGGAAAGAAAGTTATTGTTTATCTTTCAGAGCTGCAGAGTCTGTGAGTCCTAGCTGGTATGAAGGCAGGCTCATTTAAAGGGAACAGATGCAGTGTTGTGTCTCCTTTCTGACCAGATGTTGAATAGATGCTGAAAGGTCAGACTGTACCTAAACTGACCATTGCTGGACGTTACAGTAGTCCGCCTTTAAGTCGTGTTTACATTGAGTTAACCCATAAAACCTGTCATGGGTATACAAACAATCAGAGAGCGTATTTTGTAAAGGACTCTTGTTTGTGTTAAATAACTTCATGTATAGAATTAGCTCTGGTAATTATGCTAGGCTAATGGAAGCTAACCAATCGCTAGTCATTGACGTGTTTTGGCTAAACTGCCTTCATGTCTGGGCCCTAACCCAATCACATGGTTAGCAATATGCTAGCATTACAAGAGCTAACTACTTCCTGATGTAGCTGGATAGCCTTGTTCTAGAATGAGGGAGCTTCCTGAAGACGCTGAAAACAACAAGAAAACCCAGTTTAACAAACACTGAGACTATAACAACATGAAATCCTTCACACCAAAGCATTTTGTTTAATTCCCACAGTTCACTTTCCAAAATATTATGTTGGTTGTGGAGAGAAGAGCTCCTCGTCATGTTTGAAAAGAGCCTTGGGGCAAATATTGATGCTAGTGCCAAAACTGTATGGCTGTCAGCTGTGTGTCATGTATATCTGAGAAAACAAATGCCTTTTTCTACTTTTACCAAAATAGTTTGCTGATGTAAATATTATGTACTAGATTTTTTTGAGAGATATATTATATTTTAAAAATGTTGCATTTTTTTTATTCTCAACAACTAAGCTACAAGGTACACGTGTGTAATTTGGCAGTAACATTCCTGCTAACATGACAGGAGAAACCCTTTTAATGCACAAACATTCACTGTTTGATCTTTATTGACTCATTTTTATGTAAACAAACTGTCGTTTATCTACCTTCCTGTCAA